AGATCAGGACTCTAAGACAATATTAAATATTCAAAAATATGAGCGACTGAAATCTAGGTGGATAGAGACAACAGCACACGAAAAAAGAAAGAAATCTTCAAGATCTAAGGATTATGAACTTCACAAATTTGAAGAAATTCTGCAACCAAAGTGTCCCTCAACTGATGAGTGGACAATGAAAATGTGGTTCATTTATACATATGATGGAGTTTACTCAGCAGTAAAGAAAGATGAAATCATGAAATTTGCAGGTAAATGGATGGAACAAGAATACACTTTTTAAAAAAAAACCATTCCACCACTGATGGGCATGGTTATAGAGTTTGAGATCACTGGGAATAGACCATGCAGGCTCAAAAATTTCTGAATTAGCTGAACTTATTTAGCTTGCCAGGGGACTCTCTGAGCCAATTTAGAGAACATAGCTCTGAGAGGGGACTGATGTTTTTGAAGGTTAAAAACTACAATCTACAAGACATCAGGCATTTTGGTTAAGCAATTACAAAGTGTTAATGAGGGAGAAATGGGAAAAATGGAGGCACCTTAATTGGGGAAACCATGATGGAAGGGTTAGACAATGCAAGAACTTCTGAAATTTAAAGAATTAAGGAATTCATTCAACCCCAAGAAGCCTAACCTGTAGATGATCATAACTCAACACAACAAATATAAAATACTATACTCCAAAGACAATTAAAATATTTTGAAAGTAGCCAGAGGAAAAATGACATATTGCATGCATGGGAAAAAAGTAATTCAAATCACTGTTGAGTTATAATCAGAACACAACAGAGATAGGTAGACATAAATATATTAAAATATATGTATTATACCTGTAATTGATTAATTAAATTTTTACAAATTCCTAGCCACCTGAAGCAAAGAAAGAAAAAAGAAAAACCAAACACAGTACCTGCATCAATTCTTTTAAAGACTACCTATTTATCATGCAACAAAAGATTGCAATCACTCAGAAAGACTCAGGAAACTAATGACAGGAAGCCCTTACCACTTTGGGGAGCCCAGACAGCTCTTCAAGAAGCAAAGGCAAAGCCTAAAAAACAACCCAGGCAAAGCCTAAAAACCCTCTGGGTTGAGGAGAAAGTACTGAAAATCTGGACAACAGAGGTTTATCTAAATTTCTTAGAAGGAAGAAAGGAAGGGGGGAGGGAGGAAGGGAGGGAATGCAATTCCACAGACAAGTCAAGAATGATCCTTGAGGGTTGAACAGAGCACACCTATGTGTGAGGAAACTGCTAGAAGCAAAGGGAGTTACCCCAAAATGATCTAGGGAGATAAGCTGGCACAAAAACAGAGCAGGAATATTGCCTGGATTGGCAGAATCGGGTAAGCAAAAAGAACTGAGTACATAGTAACTAGATGATTCAGAGAAAAGGAAAAACAACCTAGAAATTGAAAAAAATAAAACGGTAAGCTGGGGAACAATTGCAAGTGATATAATTGATACATGCATCCCAAGTCTCTAAAAATAAAGAAAAAAGACAAAAGCATATTTAAAGAAATAAAGGCACTGGGCATGGCACACATCTTTAATCCCAGCACTTGGCAGACAGAGGCAGGCGGACTTCTATGAGATAAAAGCCAGCTTGGTCTACACAGTGAGTCTCAAGACAGCTGGGGTTACTGTCAAATTATAGTGTATGGAAATCACAAATATCCAAAAAAAAAATCATAATAGGCTGCATTTTTGAAATTTTAATAAAATTATACATTCATAAATCTAAGCATTATCACCCACAGGACAGAAAACATACAGCGCAATACTCCAAGACTTCTCACCTTTAAACTCACAATTCCCATAACAAAGAAAAAATACCTTAAGAGTGCCTGAAAAAATAACACATGGCAAAAACCAAAGGATGACAGCAGGAGTTGGAGAGATGCCGAGCAGTAGTTAAGAATGTTTATTACTCTTACAGAGGACCAGAGTTCAGTACCCAGCACCCATGCTGAGTGGTTCACAACCACCTGTAACTCCAGCTCCAGGGGCTCCAATACCTCTGGTTATCTCTGGCACTGCACATATCCACACACATGCAAATATCCACACACATGCACATATCTGCACACATGCACTTATCCACACTGACACATACACATAATTAAAAATCAAAGTAAATCTTGAAAAACAAAGGATAACAGATGATTCCTTGTCTTAAGCAAAGCCAACGTGAAGACGCTGTAGCAATACCTTCTGAACAGTGAGGGAGTAATCCTGTAATCCTGGAATTTATACCCAGTGAAAATATCTTTAAAAAATGACATACTAGAGTTGAAATACTGAATTATTCAAAGACCATAATACCTACAAGATACAATAAGAAAATCCTTAAGGCCAATGAAAAACAATACCATACTAATGTATAGATAGACCCAAAGGAATGACTATTGCTCATTTTAATTACTTAGGTAATCATATTAATTAGATGCTAAAGAATGAGAGTGTAATATGAAGTTTATAGTAGTGTCAATAAAATATAACTAGGGTAACAGGAGAGGAAATTTGGGGAGATTGTGGATTGTTTCATTATCTTTTCACATTGTTGTCCCATAGTTGTACATACATATTCTAAAACTGTCAAATGCCACAAATAAAAATAAAAGCCTGTAACTGAGTTACCACAGTGAGACTTTATAGCAATCACAATCCAGCTATTCAAGAGTGTTTATTTTATAAATGAATACAGTGAATTCTAAAGGTGATAAACATGCCCAAAATCACCTAACAAGGCTGACCTCACCTTAAAACCAAAGTAAAATAGGATAATATAAGCTGGGAAAAGATGGGGCAGGTCCAATACCATGGCTAGAGTTCTCTGCTGGAGTTGGAGGACAGTCAACAACCTCTCCCTACATTTGTATTTACAGCCCCTGCCAGCTGCTAGCACAGACCCTAGGCTCCCCCACCTACATATGCTCCAGCTGCTCCACTCTTGAAGTTTACTGAACAAGCAACTGTTTAGAGACAATTTAATTGTAATGAGTCCTCATAGCTAAGTGGTCTTTTATTAGCCCAAATGCAGTTCCATGCATCAGGAGGGGCCACCTTCCCCCGACTCTCTTCCAGTCCTTCTCCATTAAAGTGAAATATGGCTTTAATATAGTCACACCTGGGGAAATGCTCTCCCAGGCAGCAGCAATGGATGCCCACCCTCCCCCACTGAAGGACTGCCTTTTATTTCTTTATTTCTTGGGGCTGGGTTTGGCAGCTTATGGAATGATCAGATTGGTTTTAAAGTCAATAGAAACACAGGGCATAAAAAAATCATGAACACTCATGTTTTGGAGCTGACTTCAGTCATAATTTAAATAAAATATGGTGGTGGGTGTGGTGAGGGAACAGAACAAATAGACCATGAACACTGGTCTTAGAATTTCTTTATTCAGTGTGTTCAGGGAAATTGCAGGATAAACAACTCCATCAAGTACAGGTTTAATGTCTCTTGGGCTCCCTGAAAGCATGGGAAAGTTACAATGGGCCAAAGCATTCTGGTCTCAGATCTGTGGGAACCACATGAATAGGAAGTTATGAAAACAGCTAATACAGAAAAAGATCCAACTCAACTTTGATTCCAGTACAAAGTAAGCTACAAGAGTAGAGCGGAGAACTCATTCAACACACATCACAGGTAATGTATTTCATCACCTTCCAAGTAAGTTTAGGACAGCCTCATATTTGGATGCATCTAGTTGCCTTGGGCACTCCAAACACCATTGCTTTAGACACTGAATGTAACCTTTTTTTTTTTTTTTTTTTTGGTCTTTTTGAGGCAGGGTCTCCCTGTAGCCCCAGCTGTCCTGGAACTCACTATGTAGGCCAGGCTAGCCTTGAACTCACAGAGATCCACCTGCCTTTGCCTCCCAAGTGCTGGGATTAAAGGCATGGGCCACCCTCTTTATCATGTTAACAAAGGCTCAGAGCCATTAATAAGTTTGGAAACATCAGACAAGTCTCATCTCTTTAATTCTAAAGTCTTTTTTTCCTATTTACACTATGGTGCTATGAGTGGGATACGTCCCTCTTCTCGTAGGATATCCTGACCAGAACGTCCCTCATATCTCCAACTTCCTC